GGGGTTGGGAGGGTGGTGTCTTCACATTCTCTATTCATGGTCTATCCACCTAGTGCTCCCCAGGCCTATGCTGGGCATCCACTGCCCACTGGGTAGGTAACCCCAGCCCCACCCCTACCAGCATTTCCAAATTCCTGGACAGAGCTTGGAGCTGAGTAGCCAGAACTGCATTGGGAATTCTTGGGCTCCTTGCTGGTCCTCACTAGACTCTGGAGGGGAGGGCAAGGGCGAGGCCCTGCAGCCAAGCCCCTGGCCCCATCTGGACCTCATGAGTGTGGATACCACTCTGCCTCTTGCAGTTTGGGGCCCAAGGAACCCACAGGGGCAGTAGGCAGAGACACAGCAGCCCTTGGGCAGGCAGACTGGGTGGGGAGTTGTGGAGAGGGATGTGAACTTGAGTGGCCCCTCAGACTCAATAAAAAGCAGAGGAACTCGAGTCCTCCGATGTGCCCAGAAGCTCTATACACACACACAGTTACCTCGGAGGTGGGGTCTACTGTAATCAGCACTTCACAGAAGAGGGAAACTGAGGCTTTGGTGTTGAAAACCCAGCCCTAAGGTCCCATAGCTGGAAGTGATGCAGGCTGGAGTGAACTCAGGCAGGGTTCAGACCAGGCAGAAGCCAGGAAGTTCAGTGATGGGCTTGACTGTCCTTGGAGGCAGCCTGGAGGGAGGGGGCAGGTCAGGGGCTGAGCGGTAGTTATAGGGGGTGGACTGCATGGGCTGGAGGAGTGCCCTTGCAGGGGCAACTCCAGGGGCCCAGTGGCAATGCCTGGAGGGACAGATCCCACAAGCCACAGACCACAGCCTCGAGTGAGAGCGGAGTGCTGGACAACAGGGAAGCCCAGGCCCTGGCCAGGCCAGAGGTGACGTGAGGCTCACAAAGAGGCTGGTGTGTCGAACTGGGGGATTTTGAGCCTGTGAAGCTGGGATTTATGGAGTAATGGTGAGTAGGACTGGCCTAAATGAAAGGCAAAAGGGAAAATGAGGAGCTCTGTTGGGAGGACCTGCAGGTCAGCCAGGCAGTCCTTCCCTCAGCACTAGCGAGCGGCCCACTGGAATATACAGCCATGGAGGGGCTGCCAGGTTGCACCTGTCCCTGGGACAGCTCTCCAGGGAGCCCCCAGGCACCTCTATGCCGACCTGAGTTCATGCTGCTTCTCAACAGCCCAGGTGGGTCCCCAGTGTCCACACCAGCAGGGCGAATGCACCCTGAAGACCAGTTGTGGAAGCATCCCTCCACCCTGGGGCATTCTTCCATCACTATCAGAGCAGCCTTGAGGAAGGGGCTATTTCTGAAATGCCCCTAAGAAAGACCACCTGCTGTGGATGGGTGACACAGGTAGCTCAGACACCCACTGACTCATCACCTTATGAAAGGAATGCCAAGTCTCCTGTGCAGCTTCATTTGGAGGGTTGTCCTTCTGCTTGTCCCATGCCCCCACCCTGTGCCCCACACCCCTTTTCCTGGTAAGCCCCAGGCCCCATTCTGACCTACCCTCCTTCATAGCCTCATCCTCCAAGAGGCCCCCAGCTGTCTCCACCTACGGGAAGCCACCCCCCCAACCCTGCTGCCCAGCCTACTTCCTCAGTGCCTCATTCAGGGTAGGTGGATGCCTTCTTTCTTTTCTCAGAATCTTTCAGCCGCCCACTCCTTTCTGACTCATGCTTGCATCCTCCCTGGCACTGATCAGCTTTGCATGCTAATGTTCATCAAATGAACCAACAAATAAGCGAGACGGTCACATCCAGCTTTATCAGTGGATGTTCTGGGTGGGAGGTGAAGCCGGATGCCTCCGGCTGTCCCGAGTAGCATGGACAGATTGGGTGTCAGAGGGCCATGAATCACCATGGGCTCCCCCACTGCTCAAGAGTCGATTTAGGACGAATACAGATGAACATGTGTCTGTACCTCAATCAGGGTTCTCGGTTGCACGCAATAGAAACCAGCTCGGGCTGGTGTGAGCAGTGGAGGAAGCTGGTACAAAAACCCTGGTGGCTCCCAAGTCCCCATGAGGGTCAGGAAAGTGGGAGCTGCATAGCCACCCTGAAGAGTCAGTCCCCTCAGGGAGGCCTCACTGCCTCCTCTGGTGAGGATCTCCAACAGACAAAGGGAGTGCAGGTGCCAGAAGGAAGGACACAGTGCCCTCTGCCTAGTTGGGATGCACTCTGAGGGAAAAGTCCCCAGATCATGGTTCTCCTTGTTAAGGTGTCCTTCCATGTCATATTCAGGTCAGTTTCCTCCTGCTGTCCTCTGGGCTATGGGGGGCAGCCACCTGTCCTCATTCACTGGGCTCTAGTGCTATCCTGTCTTGCGACCTGGCCTGTCCCGCCCTGCCAGCTCTACCTCCCACCTGCCCTGGTTTGGCTGCAGGACAGGCCTGGCGGCCTTGACCTTGGTCTGAGCCGGTTCCCACTGGACGCTGCATTCTTCCACCTCTTTTGGAATCACCCTCTGCATTCCAAGGGGTGGGACCTGTCATGCCCAGTCCCATTCATCCCCTGCTCTTTGGGGACAGGGATATGTTCCCATACTCCCCTTTCTTTTCTGCCATGGGAGAGTCCAGAGTCCTACAGCCGGGATGAGGCCAAGGACAACTGTTCAGGTGAATCTGGAAATCTGTTTCATTTTTTTAGGTACAGAAGAAGAATGCTTAGGTTTTTCTTTTTTCTCTTTCCTTTCCTTTCTTCTCCTTCCTTCCTTCCTTCCTTCCTTCCTTCCTTCCTTCCTTCCTTCCTTCTTTCCTTCCTTCCTTTTGTGAGAAAGCAGGATTTATTGAGAGGACAGAAAAGCTCCCAGAGAGCAACCCCTTCCGGTTTTCTTCCACTGTAGGAGTTTTCTGTCCTCTCAACAAATCCTGCTTTAAAAAAAAAATTTTTTTTCCTTCACTTTGACATTCAGAGCACTGGGCAGAAAAAAAGAAAAAAGAAAAGCTCCCAGAGCTGGAGGAGACCCGAGAGTGTTGCCCTTGCTTAGGTTTTTCTTAAGCAAACCTCATGCGGTTTCTTCCACTGAAGAGAGGAACGTCACAGTTTAAAAACTGAATCCAATTGCCAAAATTTTTGAAACTAGCCGCTTGGGGCCAAATGGGTTCCATTCTTCTGTCTGACCGCAAATTTAATCATCCATAACTCATGCCTTTAAAAAGTTGAGTGTCAAGGTTGCTGAGTAGACCACAGCATTCCTCCCTCGGCATGTTATGGCAGGAAACTTCCCTGGAGTCGTGCATAATTTAGGAGTTCAGTGTTGCTTGGGGGATTCAGAGAAATGGTTCCTCTCTCCACAGCAGGAAAATGCCCTTAACACAGCAGCTGCACCCAAGGCAGAGGTACCATCATGTGAAGGAAAGGACAGGAAGACAGGAGCTGTGTCTGTAGGGCAGGCTGTGTCCGCAGGGCAAAATGCAGGGGCCCCTGGGTTTTCTCAGGAGACAAGGGGTACAGAGGTGCTAAGTTGATAGGTCTTAAGCTCAGTGCACACACTTTATGCCCATGTTTGGTCTGTGCCTGCACAACGGGCAGGAAAGGCTGCGGGAGGGGACAAAATGGGGAGATGATCAAGGGCACAGGATGCTTTTGGAGGTGACAGGTACCCATGCTCACTTTCTGTACTGGTGGTGTCACAGGTGTATGCAGATTTCAGAACTTTTCGTATTGTACACTTTCAGTACATTCGGTTTATTCTATATTATCTATTTTTTGTTTACAGAGAAAGAATCTCAGAACCACCACCGTCTCCCTCCCAGCCAGGGTGGTGGGCGGCTGGGACTGTCACCCCACCAGGGTGACCTGCTTCTCCTGTGCTAGATCCAGAGTGACATGGGGCAGAGCCTCCCCTGCTGTGCTAGCTGCACCCAGAGCCTGTGAGCTAGGGCGGAGAAGCCCATGGCTGCTTCCAGAAGACTCCAGGACACTCTCCTGATCAGAGGAGGTCTCTCCACTTCTTTAGTATTGGTTTTTTTCTTTACAAAATTATTATTATTTTTTTTTAGAGAAAGGGTCTCACTTTGTTGCCCAGGTTGAAGTACAGTAGCACTATCATAACTCACTGTAACCTCGAACTCCTGGGTTCAAAAGATCCTCCTGCCTCAGCCTCTCGAGTAGCTAGAACACAGGCATGAGACACCACACCTGACTCATTAAATTTTTTTTGGTAGAGACAGAGTCTTGATATGTTGCCCAGCCTGATATGTTGCCCAGTCTCAAAGTCCTGGTCTCAAGCCACCCTCCCATCTTGGCCTCCCAAAGTGGTGGGATTACAGGTGTAAGCCACTGCACCCAGCCTGCACCATTAGCTTTATCTGTGAAATAGGAACCTCCTGAGCCAGGGTGGCTAATAGGACTGGTGAACACGGACATGGTGCCATTTCAGAATGAGCAGCCTGTCCCTGTGGGGTTTTCAATGTGAGATGCCCTTAGCAACTCATGGGACACCCAGGCCCTGACCCTGGAACCTTGGCCTGGTGGCCTACAGAGGAAATAGAACAGGAGATGGGAGGAGATGACCAAGGGTACAGGATGCTTTTGGAGGTGATGGGTACACATGTTCACTTTGAGTGTGGTGATGATATCACGGGTATAGACATATATCAGAACCTTTCCAACTGTGTCAGTTATACCTCAGCAAAGTTGTTTAAAGATAGTGCATGGGAAGGCAGTGTCAAGAGTGGATTCTGAGTGGTGTGATTGAGGATGATCTTCGTTTTCTGCCTCATGCTCTTCTCCTAACAGCTATTGGCAAGCCCTTTGCTCTGCAGGTTCTTGCTACAGCATGGAATCATTTCCTGCTTACCCAGCCAAAGACAAAGGGTGAAAGCCATCCACTTCCCAGGACTCCCCTGGTTATAGCCACTCGGGAGCCAAATCCCCAAGATACTATGTGCCTTAGTTTGGACAGGTTGCCCTCAGCCTTCCTCAGTCTATTCTGGAAAAAAGAAAACAAAACACAAGAACAACAAACTGAAAAAACAAAAATGGTGTCTGCCTAGTAAAAACCCCTACTCAGGCTGGGCACGGTGGCTCAAGCCTATAATCCCAGAACTTTGGGAGGCACTTGAGCCTAGGAGTTCGAGACCAGCCTGGACCACATAAAAATACCCCATCTCCACAAAAAATGAAAAAAAATTAGCTGGGCATGGTAGCCTGTGCCTATAATCCCAGCTACTTGGGAAGCTGAAGCAAAAGGATTGCCTCAGCCCAGGAGGCGGAGGCTGTGATGAGCCATGATCATGCCACTGCACTCCAGCCTGGGCAACAGAGGCCATGACTCAAAAACAAACAAACAAACAAATAAATAAATAAATAAAACTCCTACTTGACTATTAAGGCCCAGTGAACCCTGCACGCAGCACATCACATGCCCCCTCCCACCCTGGGCATTATGCCGAAGTCTAAGGAGGCACCCTTCACACAGCTGACTACAGGATTTCAGAGTCCACGCCTTGTGCGTGGAGACATTCCATCCCCAGCCAGTGATACTGCTCTACCTTCCAACTCTGTTCAGCTTCTGGAGGCTCAAAGGATGTTGCCTCAGTGGCCTTCACCTTTCCTTGACCAGGCTCTCCTGAATGGGTTTTTCTTTTTCTCCCTCTTTAAACATTTTGTTCGTTTATCTCCTCTTAGTGGGTTTTGGTACCATGTAATATGATGCTATGCACCTTTTATATGCACCTTTTGATACCCATGTCTCTACCAAAAGCCACTATATATATTCCATTTGGAAGCAGGGTGGGTATAAACAGATAGAGTATAGGCTGGGTTCCAGATAGGACTCTAGATCAGGTTCACACCAATTCCAGAAGACTTGCTCCTCCCCTCCCACCATCCCATCCGGGACGCTGGCAGCCGCAGCTCAAACGCCAGGCCCTGTCTTAAGCCCTTTATGCCCATTAGCCTATTTAATCCTTGCAAATAGCCAAGGCAGGTGTTTTCTTATTTTACAGATGGGACAGAGGGGCTCAGAGAGCTTAAGTAACCTGCCCAGCGTCACTCAGTCCAGGAATGGTGGAGGGAGGATGCAGTCCTTGGCATGCTCATCCCAGAATTCACAGGTGACATGGTGAGGTCAGCCACCTCATGCCAGAGACCCCAAAGGCTGTAGATTACCCGTGTCTGTGGTGGAGGCTCTGAGCCCCCTGGATCCAAGTCATGGCTGTAGATGGGCTTCCTCGGGTCCGTCTGCCTTCCTCATGCTCCCAGTGAGTGGTCTCCAGGGGTCTCGCTGGGAGGCAGGAGTCCCATGAGATGGATGGTCTCTTGACTACCTCATGCCGATGCCCAGCAACATGTGGGTCCTGGGAAAGTGGGTGTGTGGACTCCACCACATTCACTAATGGATGACTCCTGCAGGGGAGCACAAACTAAAGAGAAGGACAGGTGCCTGACAGCAGGGGCCGAGCCAAGAACAGGCAGCCTAGCTGCCCTCTCCTCCCCACCAGGTCTCCTAGTCTGAGGGGCCATCACTGTCCGACTCATCCTCGGATCCTCACTAAGATCAGTGAAGTCTTTAAGGCACAGATGATACTGTCACAGGAGGCCGGGAGGATGTTCATTATTTTTTAGTAAACTAATTTCAACATTCCTCCTTTTAAACAAGCCCATTTTATAACATTAAAGAAGTACATTTTACAATACATTGTGCAGTGGCACAGGTGGCTAATTTATAAATAAATCAGGGAGCAGTTACTAGAGGTGGACATCCAGGTATATTACTTGTGGAGCAGGACTCAGAGAGTCTGGGGATGATTCTCCAGGGAGTCGAGGTGGAGGATGGTAAAGGAGCTCCCCAGTCCACCAGAGCCCACTCCTGCCTCCCTAATGTCTGGTTTTCTTGAACAGGACCCCGGGCCCCTATGACCTATCCCTGCAAGGCCTCTGTGCTGCCCTTGGTGATCACAAGTTTCCTGCATGGCTGGGTGGTCCCTTCCAGGCATTGGCGTGCCTGCATGGGGTGCCAACTACCACCCGGCATTTCCAGTATGGCTCCCTGGATGTCTCCTCACTGCAGTACTGTCCTCCAGGTTAAGTTTAACATACTCTAGAATGAAAGCCTTCAGCTCTCTGAGCTTCCTTACCTCCTGTCCCTGTCCTATCTATAGTTCTCTCTCTCTCCAGCAGTCAGCTGGCCCCCAGTCACCAAAATGCTCTCAATTCCCAGGCAAGAACCTCTGGTTCTAACTTCTCAAGCCGAGGTTGAGAAATTCCCCACCCATCTGCTGATACCCTCTGAGCAGTCAGCAGTGGGGCAGTTGAGAGAGGAAGAAGGGTACTCCTGGACCAAAGGCTGCTCCCCTCCTACTCACAAATTCTCCTTCTGACTGTCACCTGTTTTTTGATCTTCCTGGTCAGCCTGTAGACAGCAAAGCATTGTGTTCCAGCCCACTGTCCCATGGCTCAGGTCCAGATATGCTGCCCCCTGAAAGTGCCTGATCAGCTGGATGTGGGGGACTGTGCACAGTTCTTTGGCCCTCTCTTGTGTCTTTGGCCCTCTCCAATGTCCTTGTCACACATGCCCACTGGGAATGCCCCAGCCTTTCCAAGTCTTTGCTCAGATCAGCATGGTGGCTTCCACCTTTGCCTTCTACCTGGTGACAGACTCCCCACCCCCCAACTGCACACAGGCCCTTCCTCCCTAGCCTTGGTCCTGCCAACAACTGCCACTCACCAAAATTCTACCCATTGTCAATAGACACACTTCATTTCTGAAGTTGACAAGCCAAGAAATAATCATTTTTTCTAAAGGTCATAAATAAAACACAAGTTGAACTAAAAACAGACTTTCTACCTTCCAAATACCAGAGAGGAACAAGGAAAATACAGACTTGGAGAAAAATAGGAAGCCCCCGGAAGTAGTAAAAAACAAACTATGGTGGGTGCAGTGGCTTACGCCTGCTGTATTCCCAGCACCTTGGGGGCCCAAGATGGGAGAATTGCTTGAGCCCAGGTTTGAGACCAACCTGGATGGGCAACAGAGTGAGACCTCATCTTTACAAAAAAAATACAAAAATACAAAAATTAGCCAGGTATGGTGACACATGCCTGTAGTTCCAGCTACTCGGGGGCTGAAGTGGAAGGATCACTTGAGCCCAGGAGGTTGAGGCTGGAGTAAGCTGTGATCGTGTCACTGCACTCCAGCCTGGGTGACAGAGTAAGACCCTGTTTCAAAAAAAAAAAAAGAAAAAGAAAACCAACAAGGAAAGAATTACAGGCCAATCTCCTTGATGAACACTGACACAAAAATTCTCAACAAGTTTCTAGCAAATCAGATCCAACAACACATCTCAAGGGGATCATCCACCATGACCAGGTGGACCTCATTCCTGGGATGCAGGGCTGGTTCAACATTTGCAAGACCATAAATGTAATTCAGCATATTAACAGATGTAAAACCAAAACCCACATGATTATAACAGTAGATGTAAAAAAAAATTTTTTTTTCAACAAAATGCAGCATCCCTTCTTGATAAAAACCCTTGAGCACCTAGGCATAGAAGAAACATTCCTCAAAACAGTAAGAACCATCTGTGATAAACCCACAGCCAACATTTTGGTCAGTGAACAGAAGCTGTAAGCGCTCCCCCTAAGAATGGGAACAAGACAAGAATGCCTGCTTTCACCTCTCTTGTACAACATAGTGCTGTAAGTCCTAGCCAGAGCAATCAGACAAGAAATGGAAATCAGAGGTATCCAAAAAGGAAAAGAGGAAGGTTAAGCTATTACTCTTTGCAGATGATATGATTCCATACCTTGAAAACACTAACGAGTCTGTCAAAAACCTCCTTGCGCTAATAATTGACTTTGGTAAAGTCTTGGGGTACAAAAGCAACGTACAAAAGACAGTTATATTTCTATATCCCAGCAATGAGAACCAAATAAAAAGCACAATTCCATTCACAATAGCCACCCCAAAAAAAGAAAGAAAAGAAGAGAAATACCTTGGCATCCACCTAACCAGTGAAGCACCTTTTTTTTTTTTTAAGTTTTAAAACAAAATTTATTAGCAAGAACAGGGAGAAAGAGAAAGATTCATGCCAGAAAGACCTGACATGGACGTGTCTCTTGAAAAGAAAGATGAAGGACCTTTACAACAAGAACTACAAAATGCTACTCAAAGAAATCAAGGATGACACAAACAAGTAGAAAAACATTTTATGCTCATTGATTGGAAGAAATGATATTGTCAAGATGTCCATCCCATCCAAGGCAATCTACAAATTCAATGCAAAACTCACCAAATTACCAACATCATTTTTCTCAGACCTGGAAATGACAATACAGAAATTCACATGGAAACAAAAAAGAGCACAAATTGCTAAAACAACCATCAGCAAAAGGAACAAAGTAGGAGGTGTCACACTTTCAGACTTTAAACTTTATTACAAGGCTACAGTAACCAAAACTGGCTAGTATTGGTACAGGAATAGGCATATAGACCAAGGGAACAAGACAGAAATTCTGGGAGAAAAAACAATCTCTCAACCAACTCATCTTTGACAAAGCACCAGTAATAATCACTTGGGAAAGAAGATCATATTTAGCAAATAGTGCTGGGAAATCTAACTGACCACATGCAGAAGAATGAAACTGGACCCCTAACTATCACCATACACAAAAATCAACTAAAAAAGGATCAAAGACCTAAATGTAAAACCTCAAGCTATAAGAATCCTAGAAGAAAACATAGGAAACACACTTATGCACGTCAGAGTAGAACCAAGTCCCCGAAAGTGAATGCCATAAAAGCTAAGATAGATAAGTGGGACCCCATCAAACTGAAAGGTTTTTGTACAGCATAAGAAACCATCAAGAGAGTACAGAGACAATCCATGGAATGAGCAAAAATATTTGCAAATTATCTATCTGATAAAAACCTAACATCCAGGCTCTACAAGGAATTCAAATGAAAAGAAAATAAACATGCACCCCCATTAAAAAGTGGGCAAAGGACATGAAAAGACACTTCTCAAAAGACGACATACAAACAGCCAACAGATACATGAAAAAATACTCAGTCTCACCAATCATCAGAGAAATTCAAATCAAAACTACAATGAGATACCACCTAACCCCAGTAAGGATGGCTATCATTAATAAGTCAAAAAACAACAGATGCTGGAGCAGGTGCAGAGAAAAGGGAATGCTTCTACACTGTTAATGGGAGTGCAAGCTAGTTCAACCTCTCTGGAAAACAGTATGGCAATTCCTAAAAGAACTAAAATTTGACCTTCCATACAATCCAGTAATCCATTTCCTGGGAATATACTCAGAGGAACATAAATTGCTCTACAAAAAAGACACCTGCCCATACGTTTTTGTCGCACTATTCACAATAGTAAAAACATGGAACGAACCCAGATGCCCAACAAAAGTGGACTGGATAAAGAAAATGTGGTACACATACACGATAGAGTGTTATGCAGGCATAAAGAACAAAATCATGGACTTCGCAGCAAATTGGATGGAGTTGGAGACCATCATATTAAGTGACCTATCACAGAAACAAAGAACTAAATACTGCATGTTCTCACTTGTAAGTGGGCCCTGAGAATGAGACACATTAGCACAAGGGAGGGAATGGCAGTGGCTGGGCGCTGCTAGGGGAGGTGAAAGGTGCAGGAAGCGACCAGAGGGGCGGCTCCCGAAATGGCGCCAACACACCAGACAACAAAGGCCTTCGGTCCGGCTTCTGTGAGCACAATTCCCTGTGTGCGCCAATTTCAAACCTCCCCGGGTGCGTCAATTTCAAACCTTCCCGCTGGCGTCAATTTCAAACCTGCAAGCCTCCAATCAGTACCCAGCTTTGTTATGCGTCCAATAGGACCATAACACGGCAT